TCACGCCAGCTTAAACAGAGTACGAATGAACATATTCCTGTATGCCTACTATTCCAAACACGCGTCTAACTCGTAAATCCTAAGTCTCACTATTTGCTGTTCCTCTTTAGTCTTCACATGTATGAGGTGCTATAGGTGAATGGCCTAGGAAGAAGACCACGAGACAAATAAATTGGTATATATCGAGTTGAGACTGAAGGCAGTGCAGCCATAATATTATGGAACGAGATCAGAGGTTGGCGTGGTAGTTGGTCCAAATCAAGATCATACCATCTTATATTTATGAAGCAATGTGAATGATTGAATGACTTCGGCCTCCCGTAACCGGTGTATCATAGTAAGGGGGTGTTTGGTCGAGAAGTCCTAGGACTTTTTCTAGTCCTAGGGACTGATCAAAAAAGACTCTCCAATAGAGTCTTTTTCTAGTCCCTGTAGAAAAAGTCCCTCCCGTTTGTTTTCTAGGGACTTTTTAGGGGCTTTTTCTAGTCCCTGGGACTAAAAAGTCCCTGAACCAAACACCCCCTAAGTATCAAGCATGTCAACCAGGCAATTTTGCTAAGGTGGCATATAATTAAATGAAGAAAGGAAATGTCTAGTATCACATCTTAATACCGTATCATAATAAATGATGTGTTATTATGTGTCATGCATGATAATAAATAAAATTATCTACTCCTAAATATTAACTATGATGCTATGCACTACGTAGTATCATATGCATGATACTAGTGTATGATACTCTCCACAACGTGCAGGCATAACAAGTGCAACAACATGGGCATGAGAGGTGGTGCCCGACCCACACAATTCTCTTTGGCATCGGGCAAGCCATGTTCCAACCATATATGCCGGCCACCACCTCTTTCTTTCTTGGGAGAGAAGATCCAAACGACGTGCGGTGGCAATGTGGGTATCATTATAATCGTAGGTAACAAGAACACTAAGAAAGGAGAATATGACATGTTCCCGCGCTCCCACATTTGAAAATCAAAATTTTCATCTTTAAAAAATACCGAATTTTGTGGATGTTCACAAGACATGTGTCTACAACCCTAAAAAAAATTCAAATTCAACTTCAAAATACACATAGAAAAAACAAAAAAGACAAATACATATGTGAATAGTGCGGTTTTTGCCTTCTTGTTGTGACATCATTCATGCCGAATTTGTCATTTTTATTCTCATGCATAATTTTTTTTTTGCGAGGGTATTCTCAAGCTTAATTGACATGGGCTTTTATTTTGTTGCTCATTGACATTTAGCTTTGTCAGTAAGTATAGCTAGAAAGATAAAAGGACCAAAAAGACCCCAAGCAACAGCCACAGTTCCACGAAAAAATACAATGAAGAAGTGCCCCTTCCGAGGTAGGGAAGAGCTTCAGAGCAAACAACATCCCAAGGCACACATTTGCTTTTCGTTGACGTGCAACTCCTAGTCTCTTTCTGAATCAGTTTGTCCTCTACGCTGTTCCTTTAGCCTAAATATAGTTCTTGCCACGATGGCCGTAATTAGGCCAGTTACACCAGTCGTGGCACGGCGTGAATAAACATATTCCCGTATGCCTACTATTCCAAACATGCTACACGTGTCTAAATCCTAGATGTTAAGTGCCACTGGTTCCTTCTCTCTCTCTTATGTCTCGACATGTGAATCATGGTGTAGGTGAAGGGCCATGGTAAGAAGACCACTAGACAAGTAGATTGGTATATATCAAGGTGAGACCGAGGGTAGTTGGTCGCTAATAATAGATTGGTATATATCAAGGTGAGACCGAGGGTAGTGGGTTTCTAATAATAGATTGGTATATAGTAAGGTCAGACCGAGGGTAGTGGGTCGCTAATATTTAGGGATCCAGAATTGGTGGGGTGGATCTGCATAAAATAAGTATCTACAATGTTAAAATCAAGACTATACTATTTTCTGGTACAATGGAAAATAATATCTGAATTGACGCTTTTAATTCGATGATCGTCGAAAAATTTGGTGTAAGAATTGAAGTGTGTAAATGTGACTAATTTTAGTGGTCAACGGGCACAGGGACTAAGAACATCTACAGTCGGGCACCACAAATCGGTCACAAACGCTCGGACGCCCCGCCCAATCACTGACCGCCACGTTTTTCTGACCTGGTCGGGCGCCTCAAACGGCCATCAAACGGCCTGGCTGTCCGGCGTCCCTCATATCCAGCCCAATATATGGGGCGAATATGAGGGTGCCCGGGCGCGCGTCACATCGGCCCGGCCCACCCCGACCCCACTCCGTCCCCACAAATATCCCCAATCCGAAAACCCTAGCTCACTCCACTCTAGATCCGTCTCTTCTTCTTCACTCCAATTCCTTCGATTCGACCAACTCCGATCACTCCGCTTACACCATGTCGAGCACCGGCAACCGCTCCTCCTCCTTCGATGAGGACCTTGGCCTCCACATTGCCCTCGAGAGGTCCAAGGTGGACACAGGTGGCAGTTTTGGATGGGCCTCGCCTCTCCCCCGCCACCGCAGCGAGGAAGCCGGCGCTGGCTCCTCACGGCCCGCGCTTGGCTCCGCGCGGGCTGTGCAGTCCGTGCCTCCCCCACGTCATCCCTTGGCCCCGCCACCTGCAGCGGTGGATGCTTGTGCCTGCCCCGCCGGCCCGAACACGCACACCGGAGTCAGAGGCGCGCGCTGCCTGCCGCAGGAGGCAACGGACAAGGGGGAGGGACCGGCGGAGAGCTCTGTCCGCCGCCACCGCGGGTTACCCGCGGAGCCTGATGAGGACGAGCGTCTCCTCGTGTGGGTCTACTGCCCGTCGCTTATGACGGCGGAGACAGACGCTCGGCGGCTCCGCTGGAAGAATGTGAAGGCTCTTCGACTAGCTAAGCAGTCCGAGCGTGAGGCCAGGGAGAAGGCGACGGAGGCGGCTTGGCTGGCGAAGCTCAAGCGGCATCAGGACCGGGCCGTCTAGCGCCTCAAGGGCCTCATCATCGTCTCATCCTCCTCCTCCGACGACGACGACAGCGTGCTCCTCGTCTGATGACTTGGACAATCCTCCACTAGCCGCCGACGACCAGAAGGGGAAGGGGCCTGCCCGGAAGTGGCGAAGATCCGCTTTTCTTCAATTTAATTTCAAGTTTTAGACGTAGTTTCAAGTTGTCCATGGTTTATGTGAACTTTGGTGGTCGTTTGAACATCCGATCTTTTGGTGAAAGTATTGTGCTTGTCTGTGTTCGTTTGCTGATCTCTACTCCTAATGGAGCAGTTGATAGTCTCCACCGGTCAATTTTCGTCCCACCATTTTCGTCCGTTTTTTTCGTAGGTTTTTTTTCGCCCACTTCCCACCACCCTGTGCAAAACCAAAAAATACATAATTAGTTCTCTTCTATGTGCTTTCCTTAATGAACACACTTGGTTCACAAAAGCCTTAGCATAATTTGTTGAACAAGTTTTGCCTAATTTTATTTCTTGCATCTCCTGTGGTAAGTTTTATTTCTTGGTACTTGTAAAATTGTTCATATTACTTAGCTTTGTTCAACTGCTGTGTTGACTAAATCTACTGTGCCTATAAACATATGTGCTTGCCCGTGACCATGTCGGCTATGTTGTTATTCTTTCATGAATTGGTAGGTTGAAACCAAGAGGGCATTGTAAACTTTGATGACACTTTGTGGGAAACCAGTTACTCCATGGCCAGAGGTGATTTTGGAATGGAGATTTCAATTGAGAAGATATTCCTTGCACAGAAAATGATGATTTACAAGTGCAACCTTGCTGGTGAGCCTGTTGTCACAGCGATTGTAGGCACCATCCATTCCAATTGTCCATTGGTTTAACTTCAGTTTTCTATGTACAACTTGTAGGCCGAACTATTTTTTTTTACTTGCCCTGATGAAGCTGTAGACTATACACATAAGTGGCTGATTTTGCATGCTATACTTGTGTAAATGTTGTTCCACCTTCCCACTTTGTAATTTCATGGCCATTTCAGATGATCTAGACATTTAATGTATGGAATTTACATTGGCACTAAATAAGGAATATTGAAAGATAGTATGCCACAGTATCTGTTACGAGGTAAAAAATAATAATTTTCTCACTTCAATATTTTAGTCATGACTTGTATTTTTATTTACTAACCTCTCTTCATAATTATTTTTGAATTATATTTAGCTTTTCAGAAAGTTGTAAAGAATAGTTCTATTTTTTGTGGGTAGTCAATCAAATTATGGTTCTTGGTTGAAGCCCTCTTGATGAACAACCCCCCATGCAGTAGTGACAATGACCACATGGAAGAGATTAAGAACATCAGCAACATCTTGCGGTGTTCCTCCTCATCGTTGTTGTCACCACCGAATAATGACGACCAGCTCATTAGACCGCTACTAGAGCATTGGAACCTTCTTGAGAAGGCAGCACACCTGAGATCGGGAGAGAGTGAGCGAGAGAGGGGGAGAGATCGAGGGAGGGAGGGAAGGGGGAATTGGGAGAGAGATCATGCACACATTGGTAGGAAAAACATGTTCTGAAATATAAATGAGATTTGATGGTAAGTCATCATTGTGTTTGTTCCCTATCTGTCAGATACCATAACCTTAATGTCGGATGTGTTGTAGAATTATTTTTTTGATAAATATAGTTCCTCATGCTTTCGTGACGTACATGTCGCGAACATCACCGAGTACGTACGTACGTGCGAGACACTATGGCCCGGACGGCACGAAAGGCACGCGCTGCCTTGCCTCCCCCTCCACGCCATCCATCCACCCCGACAACCCGCCGGTAGCGTCACTGCACAAGCCACGCTGCTCAAGCCCAGGCTCAAGCCCAGGCCCAGACGGCACAGCGGGCCCCACTTGCCAGTAACCGCGGCTGCTTCCGCCTAGTCCTTCCTAGTTGTGTAACTATTCCTTCGTACCCCCGCGGCCGCAACCTCCTTGGACCGGACCAGAGTTATCGTGCAGCCCCGACTCTCCTCTCCTCTCTCCGTCCCCAGACCCTGTCCCCCTCCCCTCCAATCCGCTCCCATGGCCACGCCCGCCCTACCAAACCCTAGCCCGCCCCTCGACGACCCGCCGCCGCCCGAGCCCAAACCCCGGCGGGAGACCAAGGTGTGGAAGCCCAAGGTCCGGGACCCGGACGCGCGGGAGCCGCCGGCGGCCGCGCAGGATCCGGAGGAAGACGCGCCCGAGGAGCCCGAGCCGGACCAGGACGAGGGCCCGGAGCCGCCGCCGCTCCCCACCGACGCGATCGAGCCCACCCCGTCCGGCGCAGAGGAGGAGGACGCCGACGACAGCTCCTCGGTCTCCTCCGTCTCCTCCGCCGCCGCTGCCACCGATGCCGCCACCGCAACGGGGGGCAAGACCGAGCGGCCGTTCCCGGCGGCCACGGACCTGCTCCACATCTCCTACAACCAGGACTACGGCTGCTTCGCGGCGGGGACCAAGACGGGCTTCCGCATCTACAACTGCGACCCCTTCCGCGAGATCTTCCGCCGCGACCTCGGCCCCTCCCCTCCCGCCGCGCCCGGGGAAGAGGCCGCCCAGGCCATCCACCAGCCCCCCGCCGCCGCGAGTGGTGGCGGGGGCGGCATCGGCGTCGTCGAGATGCTCTTCCGCTGCAACATACTGGCGCTCGTCGGGGGCGGGGACGCGCCGCACTACCCGCCCAACAAGGTCATGATCTGGGACGACCACCAGAGCCGCTGCATCGGGGAGCTCTCCTTCAAGTCCCCCGTGCGCGGCGTCCGCCTCCGCCGCGACCGCATCGTCGTCGTCCTCGAGAACAAGATCTTCGTCTACAACTTCGCCGACCTCAAGCTGGTACAACAGATTGAGACCGCGCCCAACCCCAAGGGCCTGTGCTCTGTGTCGCAGCAGCCCGGGTCCATTGTGCTGGTCTGCCCCGGTGCGCAGAAGGGGCAGATCAGGGTCGAGCACTATGGTGCCAGGAAGACTAAGTTTATCAATGCGCACGCCTCCCGTGTTGCGTGCTTCGCGTTGTCACAGGATGGGAGGCTCATTGCCACCGCAAGCACCAAGGGGACGCTTGTCAGGATCTTTAATGCTGCAGAGGGCAACCTTCTCCAGGAAGTAAGTTTTCTCAGCATACATTCATTCAAGTGATACATGATGGGGAGTAATATATTTGACTGATGCATTCAAATGTTGGGTTGACACTAAAATGAAAACCCCTAGTACCAGTGGATGATAATCTATAAGTTGTACTCCCTCCGTTCCGATTTACTCGTCGTGGTTTTAGTTTTGCACTGATGCCCCTAGTACCATGCAACTTACTCCCTCCGTTCCTAAATATAAGTCTTTGGAGAGATTCCACTATGGATCACATACGAAGCAAAATGAGTGAATCTATACTCTAAAATGTATCTAGATACATCCGTATGTGGTCCATAGAGAAATCTCTACAAAGACTTACATTTAGGAACGGAGGGAGTAGGTTGCTAGAACAATGATTGCAGGCTTAGCTTTATGCTCCTCTAGTCCTCTTAAGGAATAATACATGTCAAGAAGCATTGGTTAGGTTTTAGTTTTTCAACTGGACAGAAATTACTATCAATTTTGCTGATGCTTGATGCTGCATTTTGTTTGGCAACTACGATCATGGGAAGTTTGAAACCACATTTAGCGATTACTATTACTTGTACTGATATCTTACATAAGGGAGCCCCCCAAACAGAGTTTACAAAATTACAACTCTCAGGTTAGAAGGATTTGAATGAGCATCCAGATTGAAGCTTTGTAATCCATGATGGAATCGCCGCATTGGTGTTTACCGTAGAATATAGTTGTCCAAATTGAACCATGATGCGTCGGTGTTTAGCACAGAATATAAGTTGATAAATGATGGGGAGTATTATATTTGACTGATGCAATCAGATGTTCGGTTCACCCTGTTACTTTGAGAATTTTCTGGACGATTATTATTGTAAGAGCTGTAGGACTAGTCAGTGATTAATTGTGCTAGTGCGCTGCAACTATGCTATAAAAAGGTTTGGCTTTGCACCGATGCCATTAGTACCATGTGACTTAGGTTGGTAGAACAACAATCACAGGCTTAACTTTACTTTTCGTTCTTAGAGGAATACATGTTGTAACATTGGTTGTTTTTTCAACTGAACAATAAAATGCTACCTATTCTGCTAATGCTGCATGCTGCATTTTGTTTGGCAACTGCAATAGTTGAAAGTTGATATCTTCCACAAGGAAACTCCCCAAACAGAGTTTATGAAATTTATAGCTTTCAGTTTAGAAGGATTTCAATGAGCATCCAAATTGAAGCTTTGTAAGTTTCACATTTTTTGTGCACTCAAACTTACAGTGATGAAGATAGTAGTACAAACCATGTGTCGTTATGTTTTCTACACTCCATTTGATGTGACAGAGGAGAAGTTTAGTACTCAGTTGCCTTAGTAGGACCATAAATTTTGGATGGTTAGTTTGGTTGTTTTCATGATCTTTATTACTCTTGCTTGGTTAGCAATCAGTCCTTATTGATGTTTTTGTTTCCTTTGTTCTTTAAAATCCAGGGCCGTTTTTTTATTTGAATAAAATTAAATGTGGGATAAATAGAATTTTTGGTGGATTTTTCTATATTTTAAATAACCTGGACCTGATTGATCGACCCATCAGGGACTTTATAATAAATGAGTATCATCTTAAAAGAAGGAAAGTAACTCTTGATACTATACTAGTTCAAGAGTGATGATCTTTATTCCTTATTGTGCTTTCCAGTTTTATGCCATGCCGATTCAACTATCATTTGTGAACTGGCACCAGAAACGGTATTTGTCCTATAATTATGGGTGTAACATTTACCTGGCAGTATGATGCCAACCATCTGCTTAGTAAAGTAAATACATCTCATACATCGCTGCTGACACTTGTTATCAAATGTTAGCACTGATGTATGATGAATTCTTGAAATTCTCATTGAAGGTAATGTTTAATAAGTAAGTTAACATCATTGGAAGTGTTACATTGTGATCCTTCTTTGGTGGTCCATCATGGTCAGTACTCTGTAACATGTCACTTTCGTACACCATTTGGTTTGCTTTGCTTATACTCATTTGTCATGATTAATATTGAAAACTGGAAGATGCCTAATAAGTGAATTCCCTGGTCTGAAGATGATCGTCTCTCATAATGCCCTTGGAAATCTTAGTCACAACAAACATTCTCGTCATTGGATGCTCTGTAGTCAATTTGTCATAATTCTCCTCAGAAACCTTGGACAGTTAGCATTGTTTAGGTTGGAGGGTCTGTAGTACAGATTCCACATCAACTGGAGAAACCATACCAATTATTTGGTGGTGTGGAGATCTGTACACTCTCGTCATTGGATGCTCTGTAGTCAATTTGTCATAATTCTCCTTAGAAACCTTGGTCAGTTAGCATTGTTTAGGTTGGAGGGTCTGTAGTACAGATACCACATCAACCGGAGAAACCGTACCCATTATTTGGTGGTGTGAAGATCTGTACATTCTTGTGTATCTTTGAAGGGCTGTTAACTTAGTATATTCTGTTGGCAATAGATTAATTAAAAAATGTAGTATGCAACTTATTGTCATATAGGATTGTTTTATGATCGGAAATGTTCTTTTCTTTATTCGAGAAAAAAAATAAAGCACCATCACCCCCCGTCCACCCCAATATCCATTTTTTTGTTTTTCTTCGCATCATCATGAAGTTGCCTTGTAAACACACCAGGCCTCATGTTAAAGCCATTTCTTGTTGTTTCTATTAATCGTTGCTTTGTAAAGATTTCAGAGCATTTTTCGGTGACTTGGGTTGTTGGATTTCATTGCTTGTTTGTAATATACTCCCTCCATTCCTAAATATAAGTCGTTTTAGAGATTCCAATATGAACTACATACGGAGCAAAATGAGTGAATCTAAATAGGTCTATATACATCCGTATGTAGTTCTTATTGAAATCTCTAAGAAGACATATTTAGGAACGGAGGGAGTATCATTTAAGTACCGGTGTTGCAATCATGTATTGCAAGCACCAAATTGATCAAATAATTGAAGCAAGTAGCAAGATCAGTCAGATAAAAAGAACCACCGGGATTGCCCGCATTTTGATCTAAAAATATTTGACTTATCAAAGTTGCCTGTGGCTATGGAACTCTGAAATTACTGCCAAATTATGCTGACGAAGGATACTGAGTTGGTAACCACATATGAAGTTATAATCTGCTAACTCCTAATCAGTGGGAAGCTTATGATGCATGGAGTCTCTCACATGACCTTACCTTTTGCTGCTGGGGATATAGCATTTAATTATTGTCTGTTTTGTTCTGTTGCAGGTAAGGAGAGGTGCTGACAGAGCAGAGATATATAGCTTGGCTTTCTCAAATAATTTACAGTATTTGGCTGTATCTAGTGATAAAGGAACAATTCATGTGTTCAATTTAAAGATAAATGTTGGTTTGACCACAAATGATAAGCCTCTGCCAGCTCCAGACGCTGATGTTCCCCATATGAGTCCATCATTTTCTTTTATTAAAGGTAAATTCCTAATCATTCAGATATCTTGAGTTGCATACATCTTCTTGGTTGCAATAATGAAATTATTCTCAGCTTCTTGTGTTTTTAGTGTCATTACATTTAATTCGCTTAAAAAAATCATCTTCATAACTTACAAACCAAGAACTAAGCTTTAGTTAACCTAAATAGTGAGCTGCTCCTGTTATGAATTAATTTGGAGCAAATGCTGTATCAACCATATTTACTGCTGGATACTATGTGTGCCCTTTCTTTCTATTGCAAGTAAGACTAAAGAACTGTTGACGTTCAATAATGAAATTCACTTTTTGTGGCTGAGTTTCCCCATTACAACATGCTTTTTAGCTTGTCTCATTTGTTTTTAGCATTTTTTACTTAAATAAAGGGTACTAAAAAACGTTTTGGTTAGCTGTTTCTCTTTGGGTGTAGCCCGCATGTTTGACACTGCGTATAATGTTTGATTGGTTTACAGTGTAGTTAGTATACATGAATGTTCTGTAGGTTCTAGTTCTCATGATATTTTTGCCCCGTACTCCTTATCTTTTTCCAAGTTACCGCTATACATATCTGTTGATACATTCATTTACTCGAAGCTTGGAACTGAGCACTACATGATTGGTCTGCACTTGTTGGTGTCTTGCATTGGTTATGCGCTGTATTTTGATGGTTTAGAGCATGCGCAAATTAAATGTTTTTTGGGTCTTAGTGCATGTTTAGGTGCGAGTGGGATTGCATAAAGTTGACCTGGATCTTGAGATTGAAGTGCCGAATAGACTTTTCAGTTATCCATCTAGTATTAAGCATGTCTATTTCATTGATGGCAGGTGTGCTACCTAAATATTTCCACTCGGAGTGGTCTGTTGCTCAATTCAGGCTCCACGAGGGTGAGCAATACATTGTCGCATTTGGCCATGAGAAGAATACTGTGGCAGTTGTTGGCATGGACGGAAGGTGCATACATGAAATTGAACTTTATTAATCCTGAAATAAAACATCAGATTTCCAACAATAGATTTTCTTCTTCTTCTTTTGGCTTGCAGTTTCTACCGGTGCCAGTTCGACCCGGTCAATGGAGGAGAAATGCAGCAGCTGGAGTGCCACAATTTCCTAAAACCATCAGATCAACCGTAGTAGCAAAATAATAAAGCAGCAGCAACTATTTGTGTGCCTTGTGTGCCATGGCTGGCTGTACAGTATCTCTGTGGAAGCTCTCGGCTCGCCTGAGCGAGGGTTAATTAAGCAGAGGCTAATGTTATGTGTAAATATATGCCTTTGGGTGACGATGCCATAATGTGCTCTGTGGAGGGTCACAAGGAAGAAAGCCTTGTGCAGATGAACAATGATAGAATGCATCTTTTACCTATGAGTGTTCGATTAACAATGCTTTTGCTAGTTGAATTTTACCAATGTCCTTGGCATGAAAGCCTTTCTGCCAAGGTCTTGTCGTTGCTCTTCAAATAAAACTGAAATTACACATCTCTTGTGCTGAACTGCAATGAAGAGCGCAAGACTTGCAAATGTACCGCTCCTACGAGTTTTGCATTCCCGAGTTCTTTGACTATGATGCCGTAATGTTCTTCTCATAACTCGCAACACACCTTCAACGCGTCCCTGCCACGCATCAGCCCAGCAGCCAGGGTACCTTGGGCTTGCCCCATGTTTGTGACACTTCTTGCTTGGCATTCCTTACCGCGAAAGTCAATGGCTTAATCCCCAAGTGAGCGTACATGAATTTTCATAGTATAAGGATCAAATTTTGAGGTAAAATTATTGTTTAGTTGCAAAAAATAGTAATCCCTCCATTCCATATACTTGTCGTAACTTTAGTTCAGCTTTAGTAGAAAGTTGTAGTAAAGTAAAGCTGCAACAAGTAATATAGATTGGAGCAACCATTTATAGTTTAAATTAATGGATAGTCATCAATGCATTAAATCTTCCTAATTTCAAAGCATGGACGTGTAGTAAGGTATGTGAGAAATACTTAATAATTATTGGCCTATTAATATTTTTTTCATGGTAATACATGTCTCATTCATATCATAAAGATTAAAGTATAAATCACGCAAGGACCGACATGATAAAATTGAAAAGATAGCAGAACATCTCTGAGCTTGACACCAACGCCCATCACCTGCCTCCAGCATCACGACAGCAGCCACCGAAGAAAAGAATGATGGATCACCTCCTCACCGGAGCTCGATGCGGCTCCATCGCTGATATACAGCTTTGCGGACCTCCAAGGTGGCTCACCAAAAGTGAAGCCCTTACCGTTGAACGAATCAGACGGGGGCAACACCCCGGACACCCATCGAACTCCAGATCTGGCACCCCACCACGACTAAGACGTCGCAGAAGGAAACCATATCTGCCATTCACGAACCACGAACCCAACACATGTTTCGTCTTCCAGATGTCGTCAATGCAGACCACAGTCTGCATCCGCTCCTGGACTACCTCCCAAGCTCCGCGCCGACGCTGGAGCAAACGTCGTGGCAACGGCGGAGCCCGAGGACACAGGTCCACCACGAGGATGCCGCCGCCGCCACGCCATCCTTACTTCAACAGACTGGTTTCCAAATCCATCCCCAGTCATAGGACCGATGGCCATGTCAAGGAAGGATCCGAAGAATCTTTATTTCAGCGATGTCATCATCGCCGCCGAAACAAAGACAATGAACAACATATCATAATTCATGGTAGAATAATTTATCGAGTATCATACCTCGGATACATCTCTGTCATGTATTTACGTATAAATTTTACGTCGGGATATGTACACATATATTTCACGTTGGGTATGTACAAATAAATTTTACATTTGGGTATATCACATAAATTTCGCGTTAGGGTACGTACATGTATGGGTATATACACATGAGTTTCACGTTGGGGTACGTACATTTATGGGTATATACACTTAAAAATATTTTACGAGGACTTGAGTATGTACTTATGGGTATATACTTCTTTTTGCTCATATATATTTTTTACTGGGACTTGAGTTTGCACTTAAAAATATATTTATCATTGTCATACTTTAATTATCATTGAGGGGTATATATTTTTCGGACATATATTTCTTAGGTGTCATTTCTCTCTATCGTACCTTGGGTATATCATTTATATGTTTCTGTTATATACGTACTATTATATGTACACAAATTCTTAGTGTTAGGTATATGATAGCTAGGACAAAAATCTTACTACATGCATGGCAGTATCTTTACATTTTTAGTAGCCAAAATATAAAGATGGGTGTAGCATATGTGTGCGCACGTTGTATTCCGGTTACGAGTACAAGGCGAAAGCAAGAGAGCATAGACAAGGTATTATAATGCATACATATTTATAAGGAAACTAGGATGCCATTTTATAGATGGAAATAAATTGCAAGGTATTATAATAACATGCATTATTATGGCACGTATGGTATGCAACAATATTTGGAAAGTGATCAATCGTATGGGCCTTACCTGCATGGTGCCTAGGTGCCTGTTACAAGGGATCTTATCGTAACAGTAGGTTGATAACATTATTTCTTATAAATATCAGTGTGGAGCTAGGAGCCGAGCTGATTAACAGTAGGTAGACCCGTGTGGGACAACGGACCTTATCGTAACAGTAGGTTGATACCTTTATTTCTTGTTGTTTACAAACGAGTCGAATGCTGGGCCACGCTAGAACAGTGGCAATGCTGAAACAGAGTTTCGGTTCCAATTATTGACCTGCGCAGTGTAGTAGTTTAGTGTAGGGCACAAAGAGAGAGGCCTTCCCCTCCACCTTCATTCTGCTAGACTGCTACTCCAGCTTCCTTCGTGTTCCAAACCAGAGCCGGAGATCAGCAGCCAGCCTCCACCCTCCGGAGTCCAGACGAACGTCCCTCTCCTGCAGCCGCACCAGGACGCACGCTCTTCAGTGGTCACCGGTAAGATCTCACCTCAATCCATTCATGCATGCCGGAGCTAATTCTGCTGCTGAACGTGCACACAAACCCACTCGATCGTGCACAATAAAGCAGATTATCTTGGGAAGTTTGGCAGGTGATATTTTCTCTTTTGCTGCACGATATAGCAGATTATCTTGGGAGATCTAGCGTGTGATATTTCGGAAATCCAATTCTACTCTCGGGAGCATATGCTCCTGTGAACCAAAAATATTTTTTGTAGATTTTTTTAAAAAAATAGATGTGGGCATTGTAACACCCAAATGTTACCTGCAAATTTTGATGGGAAAAAGGTTAAGCATTTTGACATATGCAAAAATAACAAGTTGAACACCGAATGTTATACTTAATTTTGTTTTTCCACCGATGAAGCGCTACTATATCTTTCACATGAAAATTGTCAACCACACTTGCTACACTAACAAACTACAACTAAAAGAAATCATAATTTTTAATACTTATTTATTAATATTTATTTAAAAATTACTAATTAAGGTTGCAACAGAAGAAAAAAAAAATACCACACTACCCTAACCTAATAACCATGACTCAAGACCCCAATAGGTACACATGGCATCCTATCTTTGCTGCCACATATCATCCTTCCCACCCTCCACGACGGTGCCTCAGTGCTCACACAATCACAATGCGTTTGAATGTTGTCAATCCTAAGGCGTATATCTCGCGGTACAATATGACAAATCTTCTTATTTTTCCCGTGGGGTCTTGGCGAGATATGCATGCACAGTATATATGGTTTCTTTCATGCTCAATGCTTGTTTCCTGAGGTCAACACCGGTATGAAAAAAAGACGGATCATGCATTGGTGATTAAGGTTGCATCCTAAATAGCATTTTTAGAACAGTTAACAAGTAAAATAACATCATATTCAAATTCTACATATTTTTTAATCAAATCCCACATATATAACATGTTAAATTTGAAGTTAAAGTTTAAAAGATATGAATATTTTTTAAAAGCATTTGATAAGTACTGAGGGTTGATTAACCCAAATATCATAGGGGTTTTGCAAAAGCGAAAATCTGACTTAAAACTGGCTTGCAGGTTGATTACCAGAATTATCAAGGATTTTCCGCAAAAGCAAAAATGTACCTTAAAACTGAACTCCTGTTTGATTACTAGAAGCATCCAAGGGTTTACTAAAAAAATAGCATGACAGACTAAGAATATCACCTTCCTTTATTAGTAAATAAAAGTTAATAGATAGATTAATTAAAAGATATAAATAAATAAAATACAAGATCATTTCAGCCGAAAGTTCCAGTGTTTTTACATGTCCGACTTGCTGATGTCTGCTGTCACAACTCGCATGTGTCAGTGCAATAATCCTAGACGTACGGGCCCGTTACAAGATTGTTACGAAACTTTCCTTAAACCTCTCCCCCCCGATTTCCCACCGAGGTGGCCCGCCTCACTCTCCTTCCTCCCAATCCCCCTTTGCCATGTCAGCATGTAATTAATCACAGCCCGTAATTATCTGTACGTGTAGCAAAGCTCAGCGGCGTTTCCTATTCCGTTCGTATGCATTTTCGCAAACTGGTGCCTGCAGCGATAGAGCAGGTTCCGAACCTGGGACCTCACTCGTCGTTCCATGTTTGCGTTACCACCCCGCCTCACAGCAGGTTTTGGTAAGTTAAAACCTTTCTTTTCTTTTATTCTTTCTTTTTTCTTTTTTTTTCATTTTCCTTTTCATTTTTTAGTTTTGTGTTTTTGTATGAACAGGTTCCCCCTGCATCCTTTTGAATTTGATGAACATTTTTCAAATTTGATGAACTATTTTGAAATCCTATGAACTTTTTCAAATTTGGTGGACCATTTTTCAATTTGGACGAACCTTTTTCAAAATCGATGAACTTCTATTTCAATTTTGATGAACTTTTTCAATTTTTGATGATCTTTTCTAAGCTAACGAACTTTTTTCAAATCAGTGAACTGTTTTTTCCAATTTTATGAACATTTTTATTCAAAATCGATGAACTTTTTCCAAATTTGTGAACTTTTTTCAAAATTTCATGAACTTTATCCTAATTTTTGTGAACTTTTTCCAAATTCGTGTAAATTTCTCAAATTCACATTTTTTTTCAGTTTGTACGAACCTTTTCAATTTAATGAACTTTCTTGAAATTCACGTTTTTTATATTGTGCATTCATTTTTCTTTTTTCTTTTCATTTTATCGTAAAATAATATAGGTTGGGTATATAATAAGGACTATTTGTCCTCAGAATAAACAGCGTGGATAGATCAGCTTAGTTGCTATGTTCGAATTTGACTGCACATGTAGTTAGAGTTCAAATCCTGGCTTTACCACATTTCCGGACATTTTTGCGATCTAACAACATCGCTGTGCCTCGCTCCGTTTCCTGGGCTGGCCCAGTTCGCGTCCCTGCAGGCGCCAGCGGCGCGAATCCGCACTCCAGCGCTGTATAGGAGCTCCCAGCAGCATGCAAAGTCAAAGGAAAAAAAAAGCAGGGCGGTCGTATTCTTCGAGGGGGCCATGGGCGAACTAGAAAAAAGGGCCTATCTATTGTTGGCGGAGTAAGAAAATTGTTAGCTTGCATACATCTATTGTTAGCGGAATATGAAGCTCGAAAGGCGAGGAGCTACGCTCTTTCTATGTTATCCATCTCGGTCAGCATCTTCAGCTGGGCGCCTCAAACCCGTCTCATACGTCATTGCCCGGTCACGATTTTTTGACCCAGACGGCCTCCCTCAAACCTAGCCACTTCACTTCACTTCCCTTTGTCACCCAAACTCGTCTCCGACGACTTCCGGCCTTCTCCGACATGGCGGGCAGTGGATCCAAATTCTTCACTCCAGATCCATTGACACCGAGTTCATCCCACGCGGCCCCGAGGAGGAGATGGCCGCCTGGCTTGCGCTCCGCCGCGCCCGGGAGAAGGCCCAAGCACGGCTGCGCTCGAATTCATTCCATCGGGAATCCATTGCGTCCGGCCAAATGGCGCATGGATCCGGCGCTGGGCCCGCCGTAGCTGCCTCGCCAGAGGCCGCGCGGTTCGTCTGGCGTCCAAACGCGCTGACGGACGCGCAACCCGTACATTGGCGCGCCGAGCATCGAGACACACCACCATGGGCCTCGTCCGACGAGGCCATGGCACGGTGTGCCCGCCGTGCACGACACCGGGCGCTGGAGGCGGCGGCATCCCTCGCGGCGGTGGACGTCAGCGAGACAGAGTCGCATTCTCCGGCGCCCAGCATGGCTCATCAGTCTGGGCACCATAACCGCATCGTGGTGGACGTCTGCGGCCCGTCCCAGGACGGATCCATCATCAATCTGACATCCACCGGCACCGTTCAGGTTCCGGGCTCTGACGAGAAAGAGGCGAGTGATAAGATATTGGCACGGATGAAGCTGCGAAGGATGCCTCTGTGTCCACTTGTCCGTTATTACGTGTGGTGCGCGTTGAAGCGGCGGTACTGGTCGACAAGGGCGATGACTTGGAGATCGTCGACACCCTCACAACACCTGGCAATATATGTAGCTAGCCTGCGTGTTTCCTTGCCACTGCTTCGTCAATTCGCCCTCACCGCAGGCGCGCTGCAGCCCACAGGACGGAGAGGAAGCACGCTACGGTAATGTACCTCGTTCTTAATTTATGTTTACTTAGTGAGTTCCTTCTTATGTCAAAATTAATTATAATAAGCGCAAAAAACCGCAGGTCGCTTAGAATTAGCAAAACAGAATTGGCACGTTTGCAGTTTCATCCGCCCACCATTCTTTAAAACTTACTAGCACACATGTCCGTGCGTTGCAACGGAAGTGATTACTGATGTGCCCTTCAGAAAATCGACCTGCGTGACACAACATCGCGTCAAGGTTGAATTAAAGGAGAGAGTGGTCTAAGGTAAAAAATCCCAACAGTTATAGCGAAGGTTTTGGGAGAGTGGTCTTAGAAAGATGAACCGTGTCTAACGTTGGGGTAGGGCGGGCCAAAACAACAGGGGGCGAAAGCTGTTGCGCAGTACTCGAAAGTATTAAATAGATAGGTGCTTGGGCTATGGATTAGCCAACCATCACACTAACTTTTTTAGTATGATGTTTGTAGGACAGCTCTGATCACATCATCCAATAATAAATCAAAAGTGCAGAAAAACTATTAGATTGACTATGTACAGAAATTCCTCCATACTTTTTGTGGGCCCTCCTTTCATTTTTAAACATGGGTCATTAAAAGATCTCGCATTTTAATTTACCAAAAACACATTTAAAACATATTTTGTGAAAACTTATTTGGGTAAGAAATTGCTAGAACACGTTTAGGCAATTCTTTGTTTGGTGATGAGGTCACCCTAATGTAATCATCTTTTCATCTGATAGTAATGGCCTACGTCCCTTTTATAGCCACTCAACCTCAAGTAACAAAATTTTGGATCCACTGCCGCAATTTATCGGACAATCCTTTCATTCTCAGGGTTGTTAAAGGAATGACCATTTGACCTTGTCATAGGCCTTTTCAAAGTCAATCTTCAAAACTACTCCACTCATTTTTTTTCTGGTGCATCTTGTGAACGGTCTCATGTAGGATTACTATTCCCTCGAGTATATTCCTTCCTTGCATGAAAGATATTTGAGATGGTCGGAAAAACATTGTCAGCAACCGCATTGACCAATTACTAGCTACTTTGGTGAAAATTTTGAAGTTGACATTAAGGAGACATATGGTTCTATATTGCTGGATTCGCCTAGCCTCCTTAGTTTACGTCATAGAAATGATCTCGCCAAAATTAAGATGGAAAATGTCAAGTTAGCCGACACGAAGACAATTGAATAACTCCAATAGGTCAGTCTTGAAGAAATATGTCGGACTGTGTTCTCCAAACACCAGGGATCAAGGATACCTTGTATGTGAGTTCGGCCAGGGACTAAACACATTGTCGATCCACTATGAAAGGCATGCAAGAAAACAAGGACACAAGTGATTTTTTTACAGGTCCAGGCTGTCATGTTAGTGTAAAACCATACGTCCTATTGGTATTGATAAAAAAATGGGGAGTACAGGTGCTTGAGTGTTACAAAGGTGGTGGTCGGTGTGAGACCAGTGGTGGTCAGGGAACTAGCTAGAGTGCCCGAACACTCCTAACTCTCTTCCTCCTCCTAGCTACTATGCTTTGGTCTTGCTCGTGGTTGTAGGTGGTGTTGTTGATGTATGTTTGCCTGTCCCTCATTCAACCGTGGCCCTCCCCTTATATAGGCTTGTGGGTACCACATTTGGTCTATGAAAATATACAAAACGATATACAAATTATGGTCAGTTGGAGCAGTCCATTTGCTCCTGTCATGCTGCAATAGATGAGCTGACATTGGAATGTGTCAGATGCTCGACTATTTCCTCTGATGTGACGCGCCATACCGCTCTCCTCCTGCTTTAGGCCACGCCAACGTTCGATCTTGTCACTCGCCCCTCGGGTCGTCGTGATGATGGCCCTACCCGTAGCCCTGCGCTGGGCTACGCAAAGTAGATTGGCCGGGCAGTTAATGCCTAGTCGGTGGAGTGCTCCGCGAGGACATCCCTCTTGGATGACGCGTGTCTCGTCTGCTTGGGGGTTCATCCCCCGAATGCGTCATGGCTGACGTCAAGGAACTTCTCGGGAATCTTCTGCAGTTGCTTTCGTTCTGCATATTCGGTTGTTTATACCTTATGTACGAGATATTTCTACCACAATATATCTTTTCATTTAGCCTAACCTTTTGCCACGTAAAAATACCTCTGATGGGCTCATACAAATGACTTTTAGGTATACCATGGTATTTAATGTTCTGTCAACATCGGAAGCCATCAGGGCCTAGATCTTTGTTATGTTCCATTTGGAACATCGCGTCTCTCACCTCCGCTTCAGAGAAAGGTGCCATGAGGGTATCATTTTCTTCTGCCATGACTCGTGGAATATCATCTGTTCAGGTTTCATCAAGGGTGAAATTTCCTTCGTCTGGCGCCCTGAAAAGAGATTTGTAGTAATTGGTGATATATCTTTTGAGCTATTCCTGACCTTCGATCCACTCCTCACCTTGTTGATGACTAAAAATGCACTTCTTCCCGTGTCGAACATTGGCAACTAATTGAAAGTATCATGTATTACTGTCTCCCTTCAATGTGAAGTCGGCTTTAGATCTTTGGTAATATTTGATTTCCTTTTCTCCCAAAACACATGCAATCTTCTCATTAAATTGATTTTTCAATTCAATATCTTGTCGAGATAAGATGTGAGTCTCAAGGTCATCATGGTGGTGGACAGGCATTGCTTTTCTTCTTTACATCCCATTGGTGTACTTCGCCCACTCAGAGACGTATTGCCTTGTAGCCCTTATTTTAAAGTATCATCTTTGAATAGGTACGGTGTACGACCAACGGCGGGCCTCTCCCATACATTCTTTAACTATGTCTGCAAAGCCTTCCCGGTGCAACCATCGATCCCAATTCAAACTTTAAAAGGTGGCGAGCAGATGGACTTTTAGAATTAGAATCAAGAATGATAGGTGCATGATTTGATAGTGCCTCGATACGCTCTAGGGCCCGCGCGGTTACTAGAGGACATTTTAGCTCTCATTCAGTATCCATGAGTGTTTGAGCACCCTACCTTACCCCGACGTACACCATGTTTTTGTCCAGTTTGTGGTCGACTGTGAAAGAAAAAATCCCTGACCCATGCATGCTATATTAGCAGTGTACTAGGACAATGCCCCTGCGTTGGAAGGCGATATAAATATTCTAGTACGTTAACTTGTGATTTACCTGCCCATATTAATGTGATTGTGTAAATAAATGTTTTTTCAATCCTGCCCGTAATTTAGCTTATATTTTGAGGAGAAGTTTGATAAGTAAACTGAAGTGAAGTTGACTCAGAAGGTAAGGAAAGTAAGTAGTATATAGAGGTATGTTTGTCCGTATTGCTATATTAATTTGACCCTCTCTACCTGAATAATCGTATGCAGAGGGAAATGAATAGAGCCATGGAAGAACAAGCATGCAGAAACTACACAGAGAGTTGGATCAACAGTAATCTAGAACCCAGGAACAAGGCAGACCGGGTGGAAGGTTTCGTGATGGTGGCAGCTGTGTTTATGATTGTCCTTGCCATTGGAGCGCCCATGCGGCGTCATTGTAAGAGCATAATTATCAGATATGGAGTCGAGGGAGTGCTCTTAGTGTCCTTTCCACTTCTCTCCTACACACTTGGATTGATGCAGCAGCAGCTAATCAAGAACGAACTTTTTCTAGTGTGGACGATGTTTCTGGCCATGCTTTCTTTTGGGGGTACCAACGCAATATCAGTCCAGAAGTTTGGCGAGAACAGCACAATGAAGATCTTTTGTGACATTCTCTTGTTCATGTTCTACATGGGCATGGCTTTAGCCAGCGTTGACGATGCCGCTATGGACGTTCTTCCGCGCATTGGTACAATCACGACCCTTATTTTTACAATGGCATTGGCAGGGAGAGTCAATGGACAGTGGGAGGCGGCAAGCTTAGCAAGCAAACCATCGTCAGAGAATGGCATCAAGTGGCTGGCCGACTACATGAAGCGTGAGCACCAACCCAGCGCATGCTACAATCCCCGTACCATGCAGGGATATAGGTACCCTGTTCTCATACACAATGCAACCGGAGATAGTCCAATAACACTGGAGCAGATCTGGTCCAACAACATTGGTGCCTTGTCATCTTCCAACAGTCCTCGTATACGTCGTCTCAAAGATCTCTGTCTCTCATTTGCTCTGTTCCATCTTGTGGTTCGGCGATACTTTGGCTACAGTTGTCCCGAGTCTAAGCTTGACAAGTCTCGTGATCTTGTTCTTGATGGGCTGCTGCAAACGGAACAAGAATATGAAAGAGCATTCCAAGTGATTGAAGCAGAGCTTGCTTTTATATATGACTTCTTCTTCACCAAGTATGCTTCCATTATGTATGGAAATAAGAAGTTCTATTGTGCTACCTCATTTGCCATCACAGTTGTCTGTATTGCTGTGGGTACATGGGCTATTACTGTTTCCAACAAGCAAGTTTCTATTTTGGATGATCTTTTGGTCGAAACCAGCAGACGTGACGTTGTGGTAACCGTAGCAGCCTTGGTTGCACTGTCACTATTCGAGCTGTTGCAGATATGTTCATATTTTGCCTCTGACTGGTCAAAAGTATCATTGGTTTGTACGTATGCAACAAATCCATCCTGGCAAAAAAATGAACGAATAAAGAAGGTTCTTTTGCTTCTAGGGAGACCTCACCGTTGGCTTCACTATTGGCGCAACACCATTGGCCAGTACTCAGTCCTTGATTCCTTCAGTTCCAGTTCTTGGGATCGGCTGAAGCAACGCTTTCAGAGTAGAAAGACTGGCAATCCTGTAGAGTTGACAATGGAGGTGAAGAAGGCAGTCGCACGGGTTATCAGGAACTCAATCAATGGGAATCTATCAAATGGGGCATCAGAATTGATGAGACACGACATGCATGATAGGCTCTGCTGGGCATGTCAGACTGATGATGGATTTACACTCACCCACAGTATACTAGTATGGCATGTCGCGACTAGCTACTGCGAGATCTCAGAAACAATCGCAGGCCCCAATGAAAATGATGTGCATCCAAACCGAGGTGTTGCCACTAGCTTGTCCAAGTATGTCGCATACTTGGTAGCTTGTGCCCCGAAGTTGCTTCCAGGCCGTCCGATAGAGTCAGAGTGTACGCTCGATGAGCTGGAGAAAGAAGCAAAAGAAACACTTCAAGGACTCGTATCGCCGAGGGAGAGGTATGAAAAGCTTAGAGGACTGCCGAATGTCGTTGATGAAGTTCCATCAAATGTAGCTGATGCAACTGCAACAGAGGCAACATCCGCACAACTGTTGAGCAAGGGTGTCAGGCTAGGAAAGTTGTTGGAGGACATGGAGGATCAGGTGATCCGTTGGGATCTATTGGCGGATTTCTGGGCAGAGATGCTGGTGTATATCGCCCCATCTGATAATGTGGCTGGTCACATTGAACTTCTTGCTGAAGGTGGCGAGTTTGTGACGCACGTCTGGGCGCTGCTTATGCATGCTGGCATCCTGGAGCGGCCTGCTGCTACTGCAATACCCTAGATGAAGGAGAGCAAGATGGCCTAAAGGTGATCGAGGTAGGAGCTACACTCGGTCGACGCATGTCCTCTACGATTTATGTAATCAAGACGTTGCGTTTGTGATGACTCTGCGCTTGTTAATCTGGTGTAAGACTGCGATTATTGTGTGTTGTACTTCCTTTCTGAAACTCTATTATCTCTTGTATGCTTGTACTACTACATTCTCATATATGGCATGGTTGTGCGTGTGCCATGGGTCTGTTGCATCGGGCTGGAGCAGGATTTTGTGGCTTTTGTAGCACAGCGCTCGTGGCGTTATTGTTGTGAACTTGCTTTGTTGGGGTGTTAATTTTTTCATTGCACTAGAAATTTTGTACTCCCGTGCTTTTGGAGGATAATAATATATTTTGGTTAGTCAGTTTGGTTGCTTCAGATTCTTGGCTTGCAACTTCTACCGGTGCCAGTTTGACCCAGTCGACGGAGGGGAAAATGAAGCAGCTGGAGTGCCACAATTAATTTCCTAAAACCATCATATCAACCGTAGAAACAAAATAATAAAGCAGCAACTACTCCTATTTGTGTGCCTTGTGTGCCATGGTTGGCTGTACAGTATCTCTGTAAGCTCTCGGCTCGGCTGAGGGTTAATTAAGCAGAGGCTAATGTTATGTGTAAATATATGCCTTTGGTGACGATGCCATAATGTGCTCTGTGGAGGGTCGGAAGGAAGAAAGCCTTGTGCAGATGAACAATGATAGAATGCATCTTTTATCTATGAGTGCTCGATTAACAATGCTTTTGCAAGTCATGTATGATCAGTGCCTTGAGATGCTAGCATGATGGTCTTGAGAGGTCTGATGTTCCTCTTGGAATAAAATTGAAATGTCACATCTGTTAAGCTCAACTGCGATGAAGATCAGAAGGCTTGGCTAATGTACAAGCACTTCTGCCCGCTGCTTGTTTGTCTGATGAGAGAGTGATGACGCTTCAAAGGAACGAGGAATGTCTTGGCCTCATGACTTTTTCCTTTAACTCCAGAGTCCATACCGAATTCGTGCCTTGTGCTCAGTTTTATCGGAAGTTACACAATTTGTTTGCAGGAATAAATGCTGATATTCTTGCTTTCAGAAGCACCAGCATTTTTTATGTAAAATTCAGTTAGTATGAGTATTCAGTTTTACTATTTTTTCAGTCGTCTGAAAATGAATTCGTCTCAGGCTGTTTTTCAGTCTTTTCGATCCACACGAATCTTGGCGCCTCGTTTGTCCTCCTTGGTTACGGTTCTGCAACAGGGTATAGCTCCATGATGCGTCATGTATTTTCCTGCGTGTGCGGATCGTTTTAGCTTCAGGTTCTAGGCCCTAGTAGCTTAGATTTTTTTGGATTGTTTGATGTCTTGCCTTTGGTGGCGGCGACGGCGATGCTGAATAAAGAAGCTCCAGATTCTTTTCTGGCGAGACGATCGTATCTATGGTCAGCGATGGATTTGGAAATCAGTCGGTTCAAGCAGTGATATCGTGGCAACAACCTCTTTGTGGTGGACATGTGTCCTTGTCGGCACGGAGCTTGGGAGATAGTCCAGGAGCAGATATAGATTGTGGTCTGCATTGATGACGTTTGAAAGACGGAATGTGGGCTGAGTTCGTGGTTGATGGATGGTAGGTGTTGCCCCAGTCTGATTCGTTCAACGGCAATGACTTTTACTTTTGGTGAGTCACCTTGGAGGTCCACAAAGCTTCATATCAGCGATGGAGCTGCGTCGAGCTCGGGTGAGGAGGTGATCCGTCATTTTTTTCCGTCAGTAGCTGCTATGGTGGTGCCGGCACGTCAAGCATGTCCAGCTGTCTATTCGGTTTTGTCATGTGAGACTTCATGGTGACTGCTTGGTACTTTGATCTTTATAATATGAATGAGACACGTATTATCATATGAAAAAATGTGTTTTTGAATTTTCTATTTAGTTTTGTGGGACGGCCGCTTTTTGTTCTATCTGAGGTGGAGATCGGTGTAGTTTGGTCGAGGCGGGGCGGAGACGGCGGAGGGAAAACGGGGGCTCCCCACCGGTGATTAGCAGCGGAGATGGCCCACGATGTGTCCCCCCAGGGAAGGACAGCTTGTAAGGAGAGGTGCTCGCCCGGAGAGGAGCTCGGCGGAGCTGCCCCGTCGCGCTCGCCACCAGGAAGCTCCAGTGGAGGCGGCTGTAGTCGTGATTGTCGCCGGTACAGACCTTCGCGCTTGATTCAGGTCGACGTGGTTAAGTTCGATGGTTTTGGAAGGAATTTGTGTCATAGCTTAGTTCATTCCTGTGGAGTTTTCAAGTGGTTCATCAGAAACGCTCCTGAATTTGTTGCAGGCACCTCTCCGCGCGTTTCCCCTAATTCCGGTCAGCAATTCCGCCTCGGTGTTGTCTTGGACGTATATCTTTATTGTCTGAGTGGAATTTCACTTTTAGTATGTTTATCGTAAGAATCTAGAGGCCCAGACCCAGAGGCATGTCTGTAGATGATCAGAGGTAGAACTGAATGATTGTGTTTTCTCTCTCTGTAGGAGTACTAATATGAAGAAACTCGTTGGTGGATGTAGATGATCAGAGGCCCCTCTTTTGGTCTTGGATGTAGATCCCCTTTTAGTCTGAATGAAATTTCAATATAGTATGTTTACTGTAAGAATCTAGAAGGCCTGATGCATGTTGTAGATGATCAGGGGGGAGGTAACTAAATGAATATGAATGTGATTAGATGTGATCAATCCTGAGGGGAAATATCCAAAAGTGAAGAAACTGTAGAGTATCATTTGTCAGTTTGATTTTGCTGGCTTAGTTTGGATTAGTAATGGTCGTGATATTCTTGAGAGTTGAGTGCTTTCCTGAAGAATGTTTAGTGGATCATCTGAAAGTAGTGATATGCACTAATTAACAAGGCAGTAGATGGTCTGAAACTAGTTATATGCAATGGGACTTGTTTGTAGCTAACCCTTGTTACTCTGTACTTTCATTTTTTGAGTCCATTTAGTCAGCACTTTTTTGTATCCAACGTGTACCCTTAGTCAGCACTTTTTTTGTGCGTCTAATCTATGTGTTTATACAAGCAGGGGGGCGGCATGTAACCCTCAACTCTTGTTTTCTGTAGCCATTTCTAAGCCAAGTGTGATGTTATACTAGATTATTTCAGTTTTCAAGCATGTCCCATAGATTATTCAGGTTTAGTAAATCTTTTTTCATTCTGGAAATGGTTTAGGGGAGGCTTGATGGTTTTCAGTAAATCCTTTTGTTTTCTGACATTTTGTTTAACAGATGTTTAGTATCGCTATGTTTTGCATTCAGGGTCAATTGAACAGTAAAAAATTAGAGCCGCATGATCTAATTTCTCTCTGAATTAATTTTTTGTATCTGGCCTTTTTTTTTATTTGAGAACCAAAGCATAACTTATGCATTGGTAGTGGTACATTCAGAGATCATGGTGTGCCTGACACTAGGATGGACATCATCTAACAGCAAGTGATCTCCTGACACCTTAGTTGCAGCTGCAATCCCATGCGCCAAGGAATTCTGCCCTCTTCTGACAACACTAACCTCCACCTTGGCAAAGAGTGTCTTCTGACGATTAATATCCATCAACAGAGAGTACCACAGTGATCTGCAAGTACTTCTGGCTGAGATTTCCTGTCCTACGCAAGAGCAGTCCACTTCAATGATTACTGGGCCTCTGAATATATTCGACAGTTCCGTCAGGCCCATCAGCGCCGCGCCGGCTTCGGCTTCTTCTACCGCCTTGCATTGGGGTAGCTGCCTCCCAGCCGATAAGCAGACAACCCCCAGGTGATCTCTCGCCACAGCACCTCCCCAGGCATTCCCAGACTCTGCTGAGAACGCGGCATCACAATTCAATTTTACTGTACCCTCAGGAGGAGCTTTCCACTTTGTTGCTGTTGTGACAGCCGATCTGTGTGCATTGCCGGCCAGCAAGGTGGAAGGCTGCTTCTCGCCTGGGGGTGAGTCTGCATACGAGGCCTCCAGCAGGTCTTTCTCCAACCTAAGTAGGTGGTTGACGGCTCCCGAAACTATATCTCTACCATCCCCATGAATAACATTATTCCTTACGTGCCAGGATTTCCAATGGATTAGTATTATTCTTCTCCGGGTATCCTCGGCCTGCGGGGCCAGGAGCATTTGCAGCCAATCACTACCGGTTCACATGAACTCGCATTCTTTCGGAAGAGTCCAGGCCTCCCTCATAGTGGATCTCAGGGCTCTGCTTCTAGTGCATGCAATCACCGCGTGGAATTCATCTTCTGTTTCCATCCCATAAATATCACACTTATCCTCCTTGGCCAGCGTTCTTCTCAGAGCATTGTGTTTAGTAGCAAGGGCCTTGGTGGCCACCCTCCACCCAATTTTTTTTATTCTCTCTGGGATATCTGCCTTTCATATCACATCCCAGATACTTATCTCCCCAGGGTCACTATTAGAACTTGAGGCTAACTCCTGTCCGTTGCATTTCAGGGAGTCGACCAGTTTATATGCGCTTTTGACAGTGAACAACCCGGACTTCTCATAGTGCCATGCCACACAGTCCTCGCACTCGCCTCTGGGGATGCGAATTCTACATATCTCTTCTGCATCAAAAGGGTGGAAGAGCTGCCTAATCAGGTTTGTGTTCCACTCATTTGCTTCTGAGTTCATCAGCTGGCTCACCCATCTTAGCCTAGTTCCGCGGACGAAGCTAGCTGTTTTGAGGCCAACTTTCCTTGGTAGTCACTGGTCCCTCGTGATCTGAACTTTCTTGCCGTTCCCTATGCGCCAGATCAGCCCTTTCTTTAAAAGTTCGAGTCCAAACTCGATACCACGCCACATTGGGGAAGCATCAGACGCAAATACGGTGTCCAAAAGGTTTCCATTCGGGTAGTATTTAGATTTTAGTACCCTTGCACATAGGCTCTCCGGGTTCTGCACCAGCCTCCAGCCTTGCCTTGCCAAGAGCGCTTGGTTAAAATGATGCATGTCCCTGAAGCCTAAACCCCCATTTCTTTTATGTTTTGTCATATTGTCCCATGACATCCAGTGTACTCTTCGCTGATCTTCCTTGTCACCCCACCAAAAGTCTCTAATGGTTTTCTCATAGGCCTCGTAGAAACTTTGGTTTAATTTGAACACCACCATAATGAAGGTTGGAATGGCTTGGGCTACTGACTTCACATGAACCTCTTTGGCCGCCTGGGACATGAACCTCTCATTCCAATCAGTGCATCGGTTCCTAAATCTTTCCATGATGGGCTAGAAATTCTCATTTTTCATTCTTCCTTCCGGCGTGGGGAGGCCCAGATATTTGCTCTGAAAAGAGTAGGATGCCACACCCAGAGTACTCATGATTTCCTCCCTGACACTTGCTTCACAAGCCTCGCTGGATAATAGAGAGCATTTATTGTTACTTAGCAATTTTCCTGACCCTTGTTGGAATATTTCAAGCACTTCCTTCACTCTTCTTGCCTGTTCCACGTTATCCTTGAAGAAGAGGAGAATATCGTCAGCAAAGAGTAGATTAGATACCCC